CACTAATTGGGAAGGATGAAGGAATTAAGGGATACTGGGAAGGAATCTTCCCTAGGTATGCTGTTCCTTTTTTCTCTTAAGGTATGTTTGAAAGTCAATATTTTTTATGGAAAATATCACTTTTTCAACCAAATTCCTACTTTTCTTCTATTTGATTGATATTTTTTTCTATGGAAAATATTTTTTCACTTTTGGTCATATGTCCATATTTTCATGTTTTCTTTAGGGAGAGTGAGTTTTTATTTTCCATGTAATTCTCTCTCTCTCTCATCTACCTCCTCTTTTTCTCATCTATCCACTAATAAAAAATGGACAAATATAATACCTACTAGGTTGAAAAATAAATAAATCAAACACATTTAATTGACAATTTTCATGCAAATAAGTTCTAGACAAATTAATTATCTAGAATTTATTTTCTTTTCATGTAAATTTCATGCTTACAATCAAACATACCTTGTCAAGTAAGAGCTTTTTTCTGCAGCCATTCAATGATTCTAGATGTGGTTAAATATTTCATTGAGTTGAAACTGTTGGTAACTTTTTGTTCTTTTTTTCCTCTTTAATACTCTAGGTGATACAGATCATACCTTATAGCGCCGCCCAGTTTGCCTATGAAACATACAAGGGGATGGTGAAACTATCTTCTAAAAGAAGTATAGCATCATATGAAATTTGCATTTATATGACAAATTGCTGTTTCATTTTCCAGAAACTTTTTCAACTAAATGACGGCGATCTTTCTGTAACTGGAAGATTTGCAGCAGGTGCTTGTGCTGGCATGACTTCAACTTTTGTAAGTTACAAAAGAGATAAAGAGACTAAAAACTAGGTCTTGTTAGATTCTTGGTGTGAGTTTTTCAATTAGTACAAATTACTTAAGTGGCACTAGAGGCCCATGGGAGCTTCTTGAGAACACAAAGCAAGAATTTGACGTCTACAATGTTATTCAGGATCACTCCATTTCTCTCTTAGAACAAACATGAACAAAAACCAAGTTTATTTACTTACATCAATTTTTTATATCTTCAGATATTTTGTCTTTGTAGGTTACATATCCTCTAGATGTCCTTAGGTTAAGGTTGGCTGTTGAACCTGGATATAAAACAATGTCAAAGGTAAAGCTATTTGATTTATGCCATTTGTAGCACAAAGACTTTCCCCATTTGATAATAAATTCTATGCACTCTTCTCAGGTGGCCTTGAACATGTTGAGAGAGGAAGGAGTAGCATCCTTTTATAATGGTTTAGGACCTTCTCTTATTGGAATTCCTCCTTAAATTGCAGTCAATTTTTGTGTTTTTGACTTATGAGATTACTTTTTTAGCAATTTACCCAATTAATTTTTATTTAGGTTTGAATAAGAGAACGTTTAGCGAAGCTTTAAAAAGAAGTACAAGTTTGTTTCTAAATATGCAACTTTTACAAAATAAATAACTTATTTCTCACATTGACCAGTAAAAATATTCTTTATTTTAACACACCTCTACTTAAAAGTGAATTTTTTAGTTTAGCCAAACATGCTCCAAGTCCAAAGTATCTCTAACTCTAAATCTGTTCTGAATGCCAGGCTGAAGAAGGCTCTGCCTGAGAAATGTCAAAATATGACAGAAACATCCATGGCAACAGCCTTGATCTCAGCCACAATAGCCACACACGCATGCTATCTTCTAGACACAGGGGACAAATGCAAATGAAGGGTACTCCTTACAAGACAATTTTGGATGCCATTTCAGGTATTGTAATACTAAGCCCATTAACTATTTCATCAATTTCACGTTTCTCAGAGTAGAAATGGAAGAAGACGAAAATGGTAAACTTAAAGCTATAGATACAAGGTACAAAAATAGACAAGTACATAATTGAGCAGTGATTGAAAGATACCTCATAAGTGGGAAAATTTACTTAAACACGAGACCGACACATGTTTACACAATACAGCAATAAACACATTCTTATACGCCATCATTGTGACTTGCATCAGATCAGCTCAAAAAGCAGTCAGAGATTATGATACTGGTACAGTTTTGCCATTGCGTCTAAGTCTTGTTAGTTGTATATAGTCACAGATGATTAGAATGTGATATAATTAAATGAAATTGCAATCTCGAAGTTTCCAGCTAGAAGTTGCTAATCATTCACTAAACAATGCGATTTAGGTATGGTGTCTTGTGATGGCTGGCTAGGATTTTATTGGGGTTTTGTGCCGAACGCATTAACAACTCAACCAAACAGCAGGTTTATGTCTCTTAATCTTGCATCCTCCGTTTGTATATCCCCATTTTCATTTTATTCGAATTCTTTCCTTTTCTTTTTACATTTTTGTTTAAAGGGATCTTTTAAGACTTTTGGGGTTCATAATTCCTTCTCCATTTTCTTCACAGAATAAGACTTATATGTTAAGGGATAAAAATTCTACATCGAATGAAATAAAAACATGGATCAATTTATTAGGGTTTGGGTTAGGGATCCCGTGAAAATCTTTTGCAAAGTTCAGTGATGATTTTGATGATTTTTAAAGTTCAGTGATCCCTTGTAAACTTTTTACAAAGTTTAGTAACCATTTGAGTAATTCACTATACTCTGTCTAATCATACTTGAACTCCTAATCTTGGTGGTAGGATTTCATATGAAATGCTTTAATAATACCATGCATAAACATCTGTGTAGTGGTGGCGAAAGAGCTGGAGCGGCTTATGGCTCGACTCGAAAAATTAGATTATACCCGAGTCCGGGGGCAGCCTACAAGCCGCATGAGCACAAATACGGGCAGCCTGTATGTGGACTCGAATGGGCCATCTTGCATAATTAAATTTTTTTTTTTTAAGTTCATAAATTTATGATCTTTGTGAAATTCAACAACTTCCATAATTAATTTTGTAGTTTGTAAATTAATTATTAGTTTTTCCTATTTGAGTAAAAAATTCGAAAAAGCGCTAATAACTAATTAAAAGCCCACATGGCCTTCTGCTGAAATATTTTAGTGGACCCCACGAATCAAATAGCACGTAAAACATAAAGCCTTTGAACTGATTAAAGTT